AGTGTGTGTGTGTATATTCGTAATTTTGGGTATTACGAATGGTGTGTCGTACCTTGATAGTACTAATATATATTTATTAAAATTTTAATTATTTTATAAGTTAACGAATTTAACTCAATCTATTATAAATTTAACTATTGTCGTGATGGTGAGGACGACGGCGGGGAAATGTTTTGTTGAGAAATGTTTTTAAGGAAGCAGAAGATAAAGCTGAAGTAGAGAAGTCCAAACTCCAACGCATTTAGTCCGAGGGGGTGGATGTCAAAATCAGGATAGCCATTCGATTCGAGGCACCTATTTGAAGGCACGCGTAAATAATAAGTCACCCGGTACTGGTAGTGAATTGGGCTAGGCCCCAAATAGTAAAAAGACAATAATGTCCACATCAACCCTTTTTATCTTTTGGTTGGGGTATCCATATCCACCCCTTTTTCAAATTCGGTATCCAAAATGAACAACCAGTGCAGTATTTATTAAAGTTGGCCACTACAATGTTTAGGCGGCGAAAGTGGGATAGTTAGTGGTGGTCAAATTGGCCTTTTGGTTCCTTATAAAAAGCAGAACAATTGACTTCCTTTTATTAAATTTAAAATCTGAAATGAACTATGAAAATTTAGCTTTTGGCAATTAATTATGCTATGGGAGACTAAAAAAACAATTCTAAACGTTTGACTTATTAGGTGCTCAATAATTGAAAACCGTTCATATACGCAACTACGCTATCATTCAATAATTTTTAGGTTAATTATAAAATATTTTTTTAACTTTAAATAATTTGTTATTCACCCTTGTGAGTTATAATTTCAACAAATAGTCCCTTTAAAATTAAATATTTTACAATCAACTCTGTAAGGGGTAGAACTCTCTACTAAGGATTTCGCAATAGGACCCTTTCCTAAGGCAATCCCACATCAGAAGAGAGTCGTCTCCCCCCTGCCATATAAGTGAACACTTCCTATGGAGGAGGTACCCACTAGGCCTAGTGGGTACCTTCTCCTTTGAGTGCAATGACTTATATGCGAGGGGGTAAGACGACTCTATTCCGATGTGGGATTACTTAGGAAAGGGTCCTATTAGCGAAGAGAGGTAAATACTACTGTATTGTCTTAGGAAATGGTGCAGGCCAGTCAAAATCCTTTCGGAGGGAGGGAATCTTGTCCACCAAAAGGCGCCTTTCTGTAAGGGGTAGAACCCTCTACTAAGGATTTCGGCTTGACCTGGTTAACCCACGCAGGCGACCCCCCAGTAGTCTTTACCTCTCTTCGCCAATAGGACCCTTTCCTAAGGTAATCCCACATCGGAAGAGAGTCGTCTCCCCCCCTGCCATATAAGTGAACACTTCCTATGGCAGGGGGAGGTAAAGGCTATTGGGGGATCGCCCGCGTGAGTTAACCCAGGTCAAGCCGAAATCCTTAGTAGAGGGTTCTACCTCTTACAAACTCTAATAACTAATTTTAGACATCAAAACATAAGTTAAACATAAAAAATTCAGTAATGTATAATTTGTTGAAAAGACACAATTAAAAGTGCAAAAGTGTTGGCGTTGGCGTGGGCGTTGGCGTGCAGTGTGTATTTTTTTCCTGGCTTTTTCGTTTCTTTATTTGTAGAAAAAAGTAAATAATAATGTACGAGATAGGAGTGTCATAATACTTTCATGTTCCAAGTACTGCTAATCAGTTTAATCATCTTGAAATTTGAAAGGAGCAAATTGTAACATTTGAAACTTCAAGGAGTTGATTGCATCAAGAGACATTGTTGAAGGGGACAAATTATAATTAATCCATAATTTTTTGATATAAAAAATATTTTATCAACAAATAAAAATATATGACATTTTTATTTTACTATCTTGATGTATAAATAATACAATTGCATATATGCGCATTTATATACATTTGAGATTAAGCTTGAGAAAAACCAAAATAGTACCCAAAAAAAAATCAAATTTAAAAACTTATAAAATATTAATAAAAAATATCAAATATGATGCTAATAATAATAATCTTGGAAAACAGAGTCAAAATCGACAAAGGAAAAAACAAACAAAAGTTGAACGACACCTTGCACCCTAAATATATATTTATATTCTCAATTTACACTGGGAATGACTAAAATTTTCAAACTAGACCCTCAAACATACAAAACCGTAAGAATATGGTCTAAAATAACAAATTTGTTACTTTACTTGATAATATTTTGTACAGCATTCTTTATAATTTTTATGTCTAATTATTTGTATATTACTCAACTTTAAGTATTATAATATAAATTTCATACTCGATTTTCTCCACCCTAAAAGATTTTCATATTTCTAATTCACACCCTTAATCAATTAAAATAAATTATTCGCCAACAAAAAAATAAATTGGATCCCATTAATTAATATCCATAATCTATGATTAAGTTTGAAGGATTTAGTACTGAAAAGAATCCAAATTAAGTTTGATGATTAATATTTTTAACGCTGATGAACTACGAACAATTAGGAAAATCCAAGTTTGAATGCCAGAGAGAGAGAGAGAGAGAGAGAGAGAGCTGAGTAAGTACCCGAACGTGGCGAGCTGAGCTAGAAAGAAGGGGTAGTGCTTGAGTGGAACCAAAGCCAACTTATACAGAACACGATTACCTACTCCCAACACCACCGTCACAGCCGCTGCTACCACCACCTCCACCCTCCGATCATCATTTTCCACTCTTCTCTCCTGCACCAACTCTCGAACCTCCTGATCCCCCACCGCGTAGGCGCACGGCCCTACCTTCTTCTCCTCGTCACCACCGTCATTTCGTACAGATACTTTTCCCCCGGGTCCCACAGCTTCGATCACCCACCGTCTCGATTGCCTCGGCGATTGCAGAATTATACCTCGCCGTCGATCGATTTGATTTCCAGACACTCGCCACAATTCGTTGGCGATTGCTGGTTGTCGCTGTGATACTTGACAGATGCGAGCCGTCGGTGATGCGGCTGCGCCGGCTATGATCCGGCGACCACAAGCCGACATGTTGTTTATATATAAAATTCTGTATGTGCCAATGTGTTTGTGTGACAGATGGAGAGAAAGAAAAAGAATTAGAAGGGATGAGGCGAAGAAACGAAAGACGACATTGACGCTTATATACGGACAGAGGAGTGTGCCAGATGTAGAGAGAGAGAAAGAGGAGGTTTGTAGGTGACCGTCGCGGTCAGAGTAACTTTTCTCTTCTTTTATTTGTTTTCCCGATGCATCATTTTAGTACTGAAGAGATGGTGACGTGGAGTTTAATTTCGGGAGTAATGTCATGATTATCAAAATTTTTATTTATCAAATGAGTTGATATTTTTATATTCAATTAAAAATATTTTGATTAATATTTAATGAATTCAAGAATAATTTGGAGCTACCAACTTATTTGATAAAAATAATTTTTGATAAAAAAAAAAAAGTGATATGCATAGCATTTCTCTTAATTTCGGTACCACCTTACCTTCAAATTCTATAATTTTAATGGATATTTTTTTTTAATTTTTATGAATCGTTCTCTAACAAAAAAAAATTATAATTTTTATAATTATTTTTGTAATAATTTCTGGTCAACCTTGGCATAAAATTATTACAACTTAGGTAGCATGCATGTGACCCTTGAAATTTATTAGAACAATGTTACATGGATTTAAAAATTAAGTATGATAATTATAATCATCAATTTTATTGTAAATTTCAACATTTATTAAAATTTACTATCTATTCAATTTTAGTAATTATTAAATTTAATTTTTAAATTCATGTAGTATTTTAAAAATAGTAGTGTACCGATATTTATTATTTTTATATATTTTTTATTATTTATATATTTTTATCGCTTTTAGTATCACAACAGTGATAAATCATCCACAACAATTATTTTTTTAATATAAAGTGACCTATAAAAATTATAAAAATATTTATTAAAATAATTAAATTTATTGATACAGTTCCAATTTGTTTTTTCCCGGTACCCTGGTCAAGTCTTTGAGTTTGAATCGAAGATTTGAGAAAACACGTTACTAACAGAGACGGAACTAGAATTTAAATTTATTAATTAACTGATTTAAAAAAAACTTCCAGACTGCCATTAAGGGACTACAATGGAATGGGCATAAATTTCATATAATAAAATTCCAAAGTTCAAGTATGAGAAGTATATTAATATCAAAAATTTAACTTTTGTATAAATAAAAAAAATAATAAGTTTTTCATAGCACTTTTCAACTCAATCGTTAATTAAAGTGAAATGCAACGGCGCTATTGAGATAATTGATCATTCTATGAGAAATTTCTTAGTAATTTTTTTTAATCTTAGTGATAAAATAATTTTTGTAAAAAGACAAATTATTTTGGCTTAGTACATGTCATAATTGGTGCGAAAATACTGAATTTTGGGTCATAACTGACCTAAAAAAAAAAATTAATAACAACTTATACAATAACTTTTTAAAACATAAAAGAAATATGTTAAATAACAGAGGTATTATATTTGGTCAACATAGGTGTGTCAAGGAATTTAACATCTTTTTTGTATAGTTTAATACTAAAATGTTTATTTTAGTAAATTAGGAGGTGAGTGGACCACAAACTTACAAACAAAACAAAACAAAATAGGGCCACAATGTAAAACTTTGAAAAGTTTTCGGGAAAAATGTAATAAATCAAACACAAATTTTGTTTGCATAGCTGCTATCTATTCTCGTGAATAATTCCTCCAAAACTAGTTGCCCCACCCACAGCCATACGGGTAGCTCCGCCCCTGGCTACTAGAGCCTTGAAGACTAGAGTTGTACTTCCATAGTATGTGTCTTGTGCTCAATTTTATCATACATTGCATGTGTTGACAAGACTAGTCATGCGTCTTTTGCCCGAGAGGTTCTCAAGTAAAAACTATTGTGTTACTTGGTTGGTTGATTTGTTAGTTTTGTTTAATTATTATTTGTATGGTTGAATAATAAAAATTAATGGAAATTGATGATGTTTAACTCAAAGGCGCGAGTTAAATGCTTAAGTGGAGAAGTTCAAGGCTATGAAACAGTGACTATAGTAAGAACAATACGTAAATAGACAGTGAATCAAAGAGCATCCAGGCTCTGTAGTACGTTGTGGGAAGCTTAAGGTAAAGGAACGAGCTAGAGAGTAAAGAATAATGTAAGGAATTCAGTGGTTCACCAAATTAAGAGTTTGACTAATCTATTTTAAACGAGTCTTTTGCTCATTTGGGGATTTTCTATTATTTAGAGAAGAAGATAAAAGTTAAAGCTATTGTGATTACATCTATTTTGTGGGACTGCCGCTTCTATTTATACCCACAAGTGGAGTGGTCCTCACGTCAACATCACTCGGTCCCTAAGTTTGTTAAGATTTTGTTAGGGGAATAATTGGCTATTAGAGACTATATTCCTTAAGTGTGATGTGGTCTTCTAGAATATATTAACATGGCCTTCTAGAACACGCTAAGAAGATATCTTAACCTATATTCGAGTTTGGATATATTTCGATCTTCGATATCTGTGAAAGGTCATATTGCTTGGAATAACTACTTATTCTTTTGGATAGCATGTGAATAAAGTGTTCGATATATACTCCTGACCTGAATTGAAAATACTAAACCTTCTCGTGAGATGATATGGACGACTTGATCACCCTTGTCTAAGGTCGTATATGGACGACCTGGACAACTTTGCCTAAATTACATGTATGACTGAAGGTCGAAGGTAAGACTTTATTATTGAACATTGCCGCATACGAAACATAGAGAATGAAAGGAATCTTATAATAAACTGTAATGCCATGTTTCAGAAACGCGTTACTTGATAAATCAATATATCACAATACCACAAAATCATAAATATATATCCAATCGTACACGGGACAAAGCTCCAATTACCTCAATAAAATTTATAATTACAAATTGAATCTTCAGACACCAATAAAACTTGCAATTTCAATTTAATAAAAATTATATCAAACTTTGTCTATTTCCAATTCCTCAAATATCAACTTTGATTCTTTCTTCCGAAATAATCCTGAAAAATATTAAAAGTGGAGAAATATACAATATGACGGGAAACAAGATGTTCAACAATAAAAAAAACTTAGATGATAGGAATCATGGATAACAAAATCAAAAATCATATTCAACAGACCACATAACTCAATCGCTATCAAACATAGTCTCATATTCGATTTATCTGGATGTCATAACAAGTGACACTTGAACATATAAATTTGTACTCATATCACCTCTTGTAGGGTTATAATTAAATCAAACAATCATACCTCACGGGGCTACAATCATATTCTCCAAACTATGCCCCATGTACACTTGTGTACATGTATCAATCAACTCCAAAATATTTAATCCAAAATATAGGTCAATCAATAAAAGTGTTAGAATTTCATATCAATTAAAATAATAAATAGGAATACAAATTTCAAATAATCAAATGACACTATTTGTAAAGAGTATAAAAGACAATAGCATATTGTATAATACATTGTATCTCAAAATCATCAATAATTTCAATAGATAAGAAATTTGAAGTACCCTGAACAATACACTTCCATTTGGTAACGATCAAAAATAAAATTACTATTTAATTTTTGACTCCAAAATCTCATAAATATTTTTTCCTCTCTCTCTCTCTCCCTCTTCCTCTGCATTTTGCTTACTAACAACACCTTATATGTAAGGTGCAAATGCTTGGCCTCCAAGCTATTTACGCAAGGCTGAGAACATTTGATGATGTAAGACAAATTAAAATGTTGGACAAATGTCCATTCTTTCATGGTAATCTTTTTTTTATAAAAAAAGCATGTCACTTAATTACAAACCATATCTCCCATAGAATTATATATATATATATATATTATTCGTCAATTATATCATTCAAACATTATAGCATTTTTATTTAGATACATAATATAACCTATATTATAATCATTTAACTTGTTTTCACATAAATAATTCATATTTGAAATCCATTTATTTATTTAAAATTTTTAAAAATAACCCTTAGTTATATAGAATCATCATTGACAACCTAATTAGCGTGTTAGTAATTAATTTTTATACAGGTCGTCAAATAAACATAGTGGAATTTAAAAAATAATTATTGATTCCTTATTCTAAGATTTATTCATATTTAATACAAATCGAAAACTTTAGATATATAGAGAAGATTGAGGGTTACCTCATGAAACATGTTTTTAACAATTTTCAAACTTTTTCAAAAATTTTGAATCTTCAAACCTAAATTTAATCTTTTCCCCAAACCTCACAATCGTTTGATCTCTCTAGGTATCCACACGAATTGATAACTGGAAGGATCTACCTTAACCTTTAAAAAACTAGTAGAAAGAGAGCATGAAGGGAGAATTTTCTTGTGCTAGCAAGATAGAGTTGTTATTTCACATATCCACCTCCTATATTAAGGTATTGATAGAGCCATAGAAGACTCTAATCCTAGTTTGAGTCTAGTGACTCTTAATTGGGTTTTCACTCTAATTAACTCTTAATTGATATTCTCTCCTTTATCCTTTCGTTTTCAAGCAATTCTATTGTGTGTGACCATATAGGCTTAAGCATATCCAATTGTGGACATTTAATACTAACTACAAGTAGTATCTCATGTTAGAATTTTTTCTAATTTTACTTGAATTAAAACTCTTATTATTTTCTATTTTTAAAGAACAATTAATATATTTATATTAACTTATTCTTCGGGCTTCTACTAATCATGAGTGACACTTAGCAACATATCTTGATTAACCTCCGGATAGTACGAAGTAGGTAAAGAACTCATTCAGTTTACAATTGTCATGCAATTCAATCATTCTATCACACAATACCCCAATTGAATTATTAGGGTATGAAATTACTGTTCAACCTCTAATTCAATCCTATGTGTTCGATCTTAAGACTATGACTCTTAATAATCAATTAAAAACTCTTTTTCTAATTGTCATTTTGTCTTGGGCAAGAACTCCTTGAG